GGCGTGCAATTTTCCGACGTCGCCGTTTTGGACGTGATCACAAATAATGTGGAAAAGTTCGTTCGTTTGATTGTATTTAAAACTTTAACTCTATATTCGTGTTATATCTAGTAAAGCGGGTAGTTTGCGGGTTGAAACCTCGAGAATCAGATACTTTAAATAAAAAGTTAATAGGATGGTTTCTGCGCCGTCGGAACGGTATTTATGGGAAAGAAAGCGATCAGCCTCTCTCCCCCCCGAAAAAAAATCTTCGGACACGCGCCTTCAAATGGTTCTACATACTAAACACGGTTGCCACCAAAATGTCTACGCCCGAAGACCATGATATTTTAAACATTTTTCAACGTAATGGATATACACACGTGTATTAAACATGCTATAAACATTTACTTCGATTGTTATTTTAATCACCAGCGATAGTTTGGCGAATTAAAAAAGAAAAAAAAAAATAATGCGGCACGTAGTTTTATAAAACGTTAAATATAATAATAGGTAGTGATGATGGTATAGACATAATATGATGAGATAGCATTATATTATAATATTCAGTATCCGCAAATGGGCTGTCTAACAATAATTTGAAACTCGGCCACGCCTATCGTCGTTTGTTCAAGGTTACAATAGCTATTTAATCAAGGAAACAACTAGCCAGTATAGATTTTCGTAGACGATAGCCAAATATAACGAGACAACAACTATTTTTTTTTTTACTACATACCTACCGGTAGATTGGAAATCATTAGAATTTGACACTCGGTAACAATAAATATTGTACCTACACGAGTTAAAAACGTATTTCAATGAAATTATAATTAAAAAAGTATGTGATACAAAACACCCGTGAACAGCAACACAGTATACTGTACCGTCTCGTCATTTTCACCCAGTAGATATGTTTTGCCGTTACAATTTTTTGTTTTGTTCTCGATACTTGCATTGAAGGGAAATTTAAAACCCGGCATTTCCTGTGCAAATATGAAACTTGATCCTACAAACGGTCGCGTGCGAAGGAAGGTAAGTTAAATCTGCTCGAAAACGTTTGTTATTTAAACCCGGCATGCTTAAACAAAATGTCACCCATTAGCTTCATTCGGGTGATTTATAAGGGACGTGCGCGAAGCCAACAAATACCCTCCAAAATCACGGGGAAAATTTATATTCTATAGGTAATTCCACCAAAATTGTATCGTTTCTATCCGCCTATAAAAAAAACCTGTTATTTCCGAGTTTGGACTTATTTGGTCCTTAGGGACCGCTAAGTGTCCAAGAGTAGCGGAAAAAAAAAATATTACACAATATTACACAATATTACACAACAGTAAAAAATAGTGCAATAGTCTCTATTCTTGGGGAAAATTCGACAAAAACGATCGTGGAAAAGCATATTTAAAACAATTGATTTGTTTAATTAAATATCATATTGTTATCAAGATTCAAAATGTTTTATGTGCACAATGTCAATAGCGACGAGTGTTCATATTAAATATATTTTCTGAATTCGAATTAATTTTAAATGCATACGTATAGTATAGGTATGCATATACCTATTGCGCAGGTCACTCCCCTCCTACATTTTGTCCGATCGGCGATAATTAGCAACTAGTTTGTAACTTATTGAAATCCTAAAAAAACAAATGCGTGAACTTATCTATTCTTGTATTCAACCGTTTGATCTGTTCGCTGCGGTTCTCTTTTTTGTACCCGTGCTTCCGTCAAAATCAACAACCGTTCAGAACAGGAGCCGCGGAAAAATGAACACATCCCCCGCCACTTTGTCCGCTATTAAGGTTGCAAGTAAGGTTTTGTGGTTTTTTTTTTTTTTTTTAAGTAATAATCACTCGTTTGCGATTTTATCATAGTTTTTCCAAATTCATCGCATTCGTCATAGGTACACGGTTAACAATACTGTACTTTCAGACGTCGTCGCACTTTATTTTTAATTCATAAACAAACGATAAAATATTACGTTACACACCTATGTGTTATTTATACATTGTTTAGTACAATTTATCGTCACTACCGGTTTTTATTTAACGAAAAGACAAGGTGTTAACAACGTTCAACGGACATCGTATGTATAATTAAAATTTAACTGGGCTACACAACGAGCGTCTGGCGCATACGTGCGTACACAGTGTTCAAATAAATCATAAACCGCGCATTATCCGAATACCACCGTCGTACACACACAATATTATAATACAACACTTATAATATTTAAAAGTCGTTGTCGTGAGTTACGAGTGGAGTTACCCGTATCGTGTTATAATTTATTAGTCGGTACTTTGTGCCCGGTGTAAACCGCATACGTCAGTAAAGTTGGTACACATAAACACGCGCGCGCGCGCGCACACGCACACACACATACACACACACACACACACACACACACAATAGTTAATTATTATATAAAGCAAGCGTTCTAATGAGGCTATTCAACTGCGTGTAATACACACTATACCGGTACGCGCTGCGGTGCACGTATTTTGCGGTGTTCCGCAGTACGATACGCGGCGAAAGTCGATTATGCGAATTATTTGCGAACATAATAATCGCGGCGCACGAATAAACCGTAGAATCTCCTTTCGTAGTTACCTCACCTCCTCGCCACCCGGTTTCCTTATCTCGACAACGAGTATTTAAAAGCCGGATCAAAACGAGCCGAGTTCTGTTCGGCAAATCGAACTCGTTTAGTTTGTTCCTCGCGACAACTCTCCAGGCCGAAACAAATAATTTCTCGGTAAAATTACTAAATAAACACTAGTATTTTAGGTGTTTTTTTTTTTTTTTAGCTAATGGCGGTGTATATAACCCCTTACGTCCCCGCCCTCGTGTGCGCCACCGTCGTTAAATATTTATAACGTGTACGGATGACTCAGTATAGGTACTCGTTTTGTTTCATTGTTCGTTAACCAAGAGTTGAATACTGTTTCTACTCGTAGAAACATTATAAACGATAATCTATATGGACGATGCCGTACGCACAGTCGTTTATTAATAATTTCGTTAATCAATTATTTTATACTTATAGACGTAAATAAACAGTTTACAATACGGTGATGTAAAAAAAAAATATCGGAATTCATTTCGTTTCGATTGGACTACGGTTTTTATTTGTATATTTTATATTAATTTATCATATGTATTTATGTTATAAACCTACTGAAAATATAAATAATATGCCCCTACCCATTTAAACAATTTCCGGATCCGCCGCTGTACAGATATCTACAGACGCAGACGCGAGTCTATAGGTAATAATGGCCATATGTAAGAAAAAAAAAAAAAAAAAAAAACGAATAAAATGTTCAGTTGAAAATGTCCATGTACCATTTACAGGCGTGTCTACCGCGCAAAAAATGGCCGGAAGAATATTGGAGATTTTCAACAAAAAATATACTCAAATGCAGCGGCGTAGCAAAGGGGGTTAGGGGTGTTTCGCTCTATTATGCTGCCGTTATGCATCAGATTTCTACAAGATGCGCGTTGTGTACACTCAGCACGTGCGTATGATGTCATCCGCGTTATACGCCGCGTACGCGCACAACAAAGTCACAAAGTCACAAAGTCACATCCGAACGAAAGATAATAACATCCCCGTGAAAAAAAAAAAAACTCCCCGTTACGCCGCTGTCGTTTAAATCGAATCCGTTCGGCCGGCCATTCTGTACGGACTTGGACGGGGACACATGTCATATTGCGGCGTTGATTTTCACGGCGTGTTGTCCTCGCACTTTCCCCGTCTTTTCGGCAATAATATTGCGTATTGGGTAGTTCAAGTACGCGTGCAATGTAAAAGCGTATCCGAACACCCGTGCCCCGTGTTACCTGTACACAATAACGTGTAATCGAAAATCGTTCCGGTGCACCGCCGGAGTCGCGCACGCGCGGTTGATGACCCGACGGGCGCGCGTACACGTATGTACGTGTATTGTGTACGCGTGCACGTTGTAGCGGCGGCGCGGTGGGGGGGGGGAGGGACGAAAAAAAAAGAAAGAAAAGAAATGGAAAAAAAAAAAAAAGACAAAGGCGGCGTGTTCCAAATGAAATACCATTGAACTTGTGTAAAACGTTTTTCGAACGGCGGCAATCGTAAACGAGATCGAAATGAGTCGGCACATTGCCGGACCGGCCCGCGCGGGGGTGTGCGTTGTTTGTTCAACGGGCGCGCGCAATAATAATAATAATAATAATAATAATAATAATAATAATAATAATAATATAGGGCGTCGGCACCCGCCGCGCTCGCGATCGAGTGCCGCGTTTTCGGTGTACGATTGCGTTTATTAACAATAACGATTTAATGTCGCGTTGTCCGCACTTGATGTGTTATTTCGTTCCCGTTTCGACGCGGCGATTCACGATTGAAATGTATCGCCCGCGCGTTAAGAGGACGTTGCACGCGCGTCCCGGCCGTCTCGGCCCGACTACCGGGCAGCAACACGCGAAAACAATGCGTGTGCGTAAGGCCAGCTGCATTTCGATTTTAGAGTGAACAAACGCGATTGTACGCGATTCGCCGAGAACGGTATTTCGGAGGTGACGGGGTTTTCGTGTTGTTCAAAATGCACACAGCTCGGATGGAAAAGATGGCGAACATTTTGTTTTCGTTTGTTTTTTGTAACTTTGTACACAGTTTATAATTCAAAAAACACCCATGACATTCCCGCTACAAAATACCGTTTCTCTATGCGTTTCGTAACAGGTACTTTTTCTCTAAAATCGAAACCAAGTTGGTTTTTATACTTATTCCGCGTGAGAACCGTTTTGCATGTTACACGATGGTCGGACCGAGGCGGTAGATGCGTCCGCTTAATGCGTGCACACATTTTACGGGCCGGCGTTATCAAATCGAAAACGGAAAGGCGGCGTTATTAGGGTTAGGTTAGGTTAGGTTAGGTTTTACGCGCATCACGTTTATCGCATAGCCACGCGCGATATCGTTGATTGTGTTCATTGTTACGTCTATATTTAAAATAAAAGGCGACAAGATGATCACGATGAGACTCAAAGGTAAGTTTTGCAAGAGTGCGGTGAGACCGGCTATTGTTAGGTCGTATAGTTCGGTGTGTTGGGCTGTTGATAGAAAAACAATACAGAGAATGGGCGTAGTACAGACGAAAATACTTTGGGGGATGATGAGCGAAGTGACGATAAAAGATTGGATGAGAATTGAAGTAGCTAAGGTGTGGCTTCGGTAGTGGACAAAATGAGAAAAAAACTACTGAGGAGACGATTCGGGCATGTCATGCGGCGAGACGAATCGGAAGCGGTAAGAATTATAATGAAAATAGACGTAGGAGAAAATAGGAGGAGATGACGATTGCAAACGAGGTGGTTGAATATGACAGAACGGCGAGAACGGCGGTTGGATGCGAGAAAGCTGTGGGGGAACGGGTCAAGTGAAAGTTTAGAACGAGGGTGGCCGTTCCAAAATAATAGTTGGAATGAAGACAAAGGGGAGGTAGAGGAAGAACATTCGTGTGTCTTGGTTTTTTCGATATTTTTTAAGCGAGAATAATGCGATAGTTTTTAAATTGTAATATTCCGTATGTCACTTGAAAATTTAAATAACGAAAAAATCAACTTAAACGAATAAATTTGATATAATAAGTCAATTAACTTTAGTATTAAAATTAACGGCACAAAATTGGTTCTACTGTGTACGAAAGGTTGACATCATCCAAGTTTCAACACATTATCCGTACGTAGCATATCAAAAAATTGTTAAACGCGCGTTTAAAAAAAAATGTATGTTAGGTCCATTTTAATATGATAGGGCGAATCAATAATCGTCTCTGGGGCATGCGTCGTGCGCCGCGCGTCAAAGCCGGAGGAAAAACGATTTTTCGCGAGTTTTAATATTTTCCGATAGAGGTCTCATCTTCTCCCCGACAGGACCGGGTATATTATGTTATACCCCGCAGGCGAATTTGTCCACTTTATGAAATGTGCGATTTTTTTTCAAATCGCTGGATTCATATGATGACCAAATCGTCGTCTATTCCACGAACCGGACTTCAAAAACGCTGTTGTCCGTTGCGCCCGGTATTCTCATAGAAATATGGCTCAACATGACTATCAAATCTTCAAGATCCCGCCAATACACCGCCAATAGATCCCGCTGGCACAGCTGGTCTAAAAACACAACCTGTCGATCCCGGCACCTGTATCGATTTTCACCCGCGGTCGTACTCGAATACAGGTGCGTAAAAATAACAAAATATATTGTATAACCTGCAAACGTGCATAATGTTATACTGTATAGTAGTTAAAACAATCGTATTTATAATCGCTGTGTCCACAACAAAACAATAAAACTGATCTAAATGGTAGAACCAATACCGCCGTGTGAAATAGTAAAAAAAATAATATTAACAGCCGAATTTTCGTTCGGAAAGTGCGTACTGCAATTACGCCGTACTATACCGGTCCGGTAAAACTGACGGAATCGACGTAACTTTTTCGCCGCCTAATAATTATGAATAAAAAAAAAAAAAAAAAATGCCGGAATCGACGTGTTCCCCGAATCCGCCGCGCCACCTCCATAATCCTTCCCCTCCTCTCCCCCCTTCACCCCCCGAAGATAGTTCACGGCTCTGGGAACTCGTTTTCCCGCGGGTACGTGCATAGCACACCGCGCGCGCACCGGAATGCGGAATCTCGTTGAGCACGTAATATATATTTTCGGCACCCAATTTGACTAGGTTCGATTAATTACCGTGCGCGTGTAGTGTACACTGCACCGGGGCATCACACGCACTCGGCGCGCGGGACGAGCGCGTGCGCGTTTCGCGCCGGAACCAGTTTTCTCATCGTGCCGCCTCGACCGTATATGCATACCGACAAATTTATCTCGGAGCGGGGAAAAAAAAAACCGAAAATCTCTCTCTCTCCCCGTCCGCAAACCTGAATTAAAAGTAGTATAAAAAAAAAAAAGTAAAAAAATTTCAAACGCTATACGTACGTACGAAAATCGTAGACGATAAATATTGTTACGCGCGCGCACCGGCGCGGGCCGCCCGATTTCGAGTGGTCGCCGTCGCATTCCACGTCGCGGCTCGCGGTCGACTTTTTTTTCGTTAATTTCTCTCTCTCTCTCTCTCTCTCTCTTTACGGACCGACAAAAGCAATTTTATCAGGAGTATCACGTGCCCGCGTTCATTTTTATAATCGCCGTTTAATTCCTTCGGCGTGATAATAATACGGGTAACGCTATTTAAAATACTTATTTTTCACCGTATACGTCGTAATCTGAAACATAATCCGGTAGTCGATGAGTCGTATACCGTATCGGAATCGTTTTTTTTTTTTTTTTTTTTAATATTCTTGTGTTTTGTCATTCCGTACATTGCCTCACAAAAGGATTATAATATAATATATATATATAGATATATTTATGATTGTACCTATGTATACAAAATAGTGGCACGGCCAGTTGTAATAATCATAATACACGGCTGACAGCTCAAAACGAGTTTTTTCTTCGTCTCTCTCTCTCTCTCTCTCTCTCTTTGAGTATCGAGCGTATTCGCAAAACCGTCAGCCGACTTTTTATGTAATATTATTATTATTATTATTATTATGTGTTAGTATTATGTGTCGGTAAGAAAAATTATCCAGTTTAAGCTTTCCATAATCGGCAAAATAAACATATCGTATAGTAGAATATTAAAATATTATTATACCAAGTATCTTATAAATTAATACCTTTTACAAAAATTGATATTTAAAAAAAACAAAACGCATGTTTCTAATGATAACTGAACTGGTTGAATTATCATAAAATTTTTTTCACATAATACAAAAAAAAAAAAAAAAAAAACACGAATACGTTCGAATTTAAAAGCTTTTTGCGTTTTTTTTTCGATTTTGTAATAATTTTATAATATTCCTAATAGTATCCGTGTTCAATAAAATTGTACAATATGAGATTTTTAAGGTAGGTATATCTATTGTAAAAAAAAAAAGAACCAATATACTTAACACGATGGGTGAGTCATTGTTATAAATGAAAAGTTGGGAAAGTAAAGAGAAAATTGAATGTATGTAATGATTAACGTTACTAACGAAAAACGATTCTAAGCGGAGTTCGGTTATACATGTTTTGAAAGGCCGTAATATTTGAAAGTAATACATTTCATACATTTTCCCAGTTTTTCCTGTTTATTATGAAAAACCCTAACAAAAATGATCTCCTTAAATTATCACCTCAGTCAGATTTCCTTTTAGAAAAAATGCTACACTAGAAAATCGGAGCGAAATTTCTGGTAGAAAAGTTGTTCACGGATAAACTTCATTGTAAAACAAATACATTCCTCGTTCCGCCGAGAATCAAAAAAAAAAAATAATAGGAGTTGCTCTTTATTTTTATTGCGTACGCGTGCACCAAAACGGTTAGAAATTCGAAAATCGACCAGAACGCCGATGTATTTAGGTATTCCCTACAGACTCGTCTGCGGTATTCGACGTTCCGATCCCGAAGGGTCACCGGACAGAAATATTCCGCGACGCCTATAAATGGAAACGCTGCTCCGCGTTGTATACGTTAAGTTATTTTGAACAACGTCGTTTTTATTATTATATTCACGGTGCTATACACGTTCGGCGATGTTTCGGATCGGAAAACATCCGTCACCAAGGACAGAACCGTGCGGCGATGTAAATTGTCATTTACAATACATTCATCGCTCCGCTCAGAATTTAAAAAATGTTGCCGTGACACACACAAAAGACGGGCGTACGTCGCACGTGGGCGGGCCGCTGTTGTTGGTGAGAAGTCGCCTTACCCAACGATTAACCATTGTTAACGAAAAACGATTCTGAGCGTAGTCCGATTAATAATGTTGCTGCGTCGAAAATATTTATCGTGGTAAAATAATTACAAATACATTATTACATTTTCTTTGATAATATTTATTTAATAGTGTACCTGCTTTCCGTGTTCGTTCCCGGTTTTTCTCATTTATTATGAAAACAACTGTGAAAATTAAAAAAAACGACTACTTTAGTGTACTACCCCAGACAAATTTCCTTTTAAAAAAAAGTTCTATGATTGTAAATTGAAGCGAATTTGCTGGCAGAAAAGTTATCCACCGAGTAAAAAAATTAAACATCTCTGTAAAACCAATACATTCCTCGCTCCGTTCTCGACGGACGAGGAATATAGCGAGGTAGCGTTGGTTTTAGTAATCCAATGTTCCAAACAAAAATCACTGGGAACTTTCTTATAGCATTTGTTATCGAATTTTTGTGGATTTGTTTTGAATTGGGCGAAAATGGAAAAAATACAGCCAATAACACTCTATGCTAAGAATCAATTTTCGCTAGCAGTAGTTTATCGTCGAGTAAAAATTGTATTATTCTATATTACTTCTAATTTCCATTTGAAATCAATTGCACATGTCCATCAGCAGTATTGGAAAAAAAAAAATGTTCACTAAATACCGAAATACCTACCTAATAAATTACAAGATCAAGTTTTTATGTTTTTGCTAAATACAAGTAGACGTATTTAGCATGTGTGCATTGTATATATTATTATAATAAAATATGTTAAAAATATGGCAAATGATATGAAAATCGTACGCGTGGTTTTTTTTTTTTTTAAATTCAAAGCGAGTTATTTTAGTTAAAAGAAAATAAAAATAGTAAATTATATAAATTAACGTATATTAAAATACGATAATGTGTACGCGCGATGACGATAATTAGATTTGTCAAAGATAACGAAAAATGTAAGAATTATTTTTAAGATTTTTCCGTATACGATTGAGATAAAATAACGTTTTGAAAATCAGATTTGTTAGTATAATATACTGAAATAAAAACGTGTAGGTTTTATCGCAGCTCCTTCATCCACAGCAGACAACTGTAAGCAATTATGAATAATAAAATAATATTCGGACGCACGGCGCTGGCGGCAGCGGTATAAATTAATTTCGGTTTTCCTTAAGTACGTACACGCATGCATACAGGTACCGAATATTACCGTCCTTACCGTCCGCATAATACGATAGTATTCGAATAGCGCCCGTCGTCGTATACGAAATATTCAACGAGATCGCCGGACGCAACGTAAAACGAATGTTTTGGCGAAATTCCAAAACGGTACTGCTGCGGCAGAGTCCTCAAAAAGCGGTGGGGGTGGGGGACGGGGGACGGGTGGCGAGAGCATTGAATTACGATTGTAAAAAGATTC